TCCCCCCCCCCCCCCCCAGCATTTTTTGTACATTATAATGACTCACTAACAAGGCAATCCCCAATGTCGGAATAACTTTACTTTTTTGCTTTATAATGACTCCGTCCCAGACGTCCATCTGTCTAAGACAACATTTTTTTCCTCAACAATGGGTGGCTGTCTTGGACACCTGTTTTCTCCTGACCAATGGGTGGCTGTCTTGGACAATGTCGACTGCATCTGTACCTTATTTTGTAGGTAAAACACCCACATTGACTCTCCAAATTTAACAAATATTTCCCCACACCCAACATCCTGAAATCCTAGCAAAGGTAAGATCCACTGGAGGTCTCATTTGCTTGTTATGAGTGAGAAAGACATTGTGTCGGCTGAAAACCTAGGAGCTAACCGTAAACAGTCTAACAGCCAAAGAAAACATTTCACATTATTAAGGCCGACCCATTGCTGAAGTGACTGGCTATCATAAATAGTAAAAACCACAGTTTAAACTTCTCCAAGGGCTACCTGTCAAAGACAATTACCAGTTCAAACAGCTTCTTGTCACTTTTGCCCTTGTGATTTTTAAATCATAATGACAATGTGAAAGACGTCCACCCTAGATGATCACTTTTCTCCTCAACAATGGCACGGCTGTTCAGTTCTACTATCCTTGCGGAGCACTTAGTTTAACCCGTCCGCAGACCTCACGGGGTCATAAATCCCACCTGACTGTCGGCCCACGCATCGCCTCCTGTGTGATAGTGCTGTTAGCCGATTTCCGGAAGAAAGTCTCTAATTTTCTCTTGATTTAGACCCTTGAAAATGTCCTCTCTTATCTATCACTATGGGTGTGTGACGTATCAAAAGAAAGCCCAGAGTCTCCTCAATAACCCGCATCTTTTAGTTCATTTCTAGATCTGGTCGTGTACGCACACTAAGTCTGTACTTAACCCAACCTTGTGGTGCACGTATTTCTCGGATTACTACAAAGATCAGGATGTTTTTCCTTTCGTGAAATGCAGATTGTTATCATTTTTTTATCTGCCGTATCAAGAGTCCGTAAGGAGGTTATTTGTGAAAAAATTATTTAGATTCACCAGAAAACTTTAGCAGGACGGCGAGTTTTGTTACTTCACCCTGTGATATTTTCCTGGCCGCCGTGCTGCCCCGCGCAGTATTCACCCGAGGTCCCGCTTTCACTTTCCCGGATTCTTTGTGGACAAGTGTTGGGAGAGTCTGCTATTAGAATGGAACACACGCGGGAACTACATCTTGAGTGTTTAAAAAAAAACTGTTTAGAACATGCGGGGCCAGAAGTAAAAAGGTTAAGAAGGCAAACCAGAGCAGATATTTTTGTGTTTTGAAAATGACTTACTCGCATTCTATCGCATAAACGTGGACTTGGATGGTGCAGACACACATCCCTAAGAATTGTGCAACAAAATATGTGTACAGTGTATATACCGCTTAAGGAATCAAGTTCGAGAAGCAACCCTATCTGCTGCACAAAAAAAGTATTGAAAAAACTTAACACAGCTGAACACCTTACCATAGTCGATCTCTGATAGGGAACCGCTGTCACCAATACTTGAGAAACACCCAGGGTACACAAGCATCACAAAAAACAATAGTACACACACACTCACACACACACACACATACAAACACACACACACACACACAAACACACACACACAGAGCAACTCTTACACCTAACCAAAACATCATAGATGCAGCCCAAGCAGACAGAAATGTGGTTTATTAAACAACAAGTATGCTGAAGTACACCACCTCATCTCTTACACACACACAAAATACAAGAAACGGAATTTGACATTATTATAGGAACAACAATTTCTGCATATTAAAAACTGTATAGATGACTATTTCCAAACACAGTCACACCCAAACAACACATTACGGCACCACTGTCTGCCGTTTATTAAAAGATATGGATTTGGCTTGGGTTTAAAGGGTGAGCAGGGTGGCGAACTTGTGCACTCCAGCATCGCAAAACTGGAGAAGAGGAGAGTGGGACTTAAAGGAAAAGGGAAACAGTTGAAAACTATTATTGAGGCCCATAGACTGCAAACTGTGTCTACACTTAGGCAGCAGCTTGGAGGGGAAAAAGAGGAAGACAACTAGATCTAGCCTGTGAACACGAAGACACTTTTGAAATTATAGTCATTATCCTGGGAGAGGAGGGGGGGGGGAGAGCAGAGATGGACATGGCTGGACTGTAATGACCACAAAACTAAGGACAAGGATTGACAAGGATTGTTATGAGTATTCGTGATGTGTTTATGAATGTGAAAGCAGCTCTAGCTGTGAGAATACAGCGACGAAACTCTAGTTTCATGAATTTGATAGCAGTGAATCTTCTACAAGTTCCCCATTTCTGAATGAATCAAACCAAAAGTAAGTGTTTCTGAAAGTTCATCATGTCACCGTTGTATACCACTGATTATTTTAAAGATCTGGTGTAAAGATTTTAAAATATCATAATTTTAAAATGCAGACCCACGTAAAAATTTTCCTCTCAGATGCCATCAATTGCGCCCATGTTTTAACGGGTTCCCTGTTAAGAAAATCGATAAAAAGTTATTTGCTGTACAGTCCAAGAACGCCTCTATCATTTGATAGTAATTTCACGTTGATTTGTTTATGGGAAAAGCCATGATGAAGCAATTAAACTGTATAAAAATTGTCAAGTCAAAACATTTCACTCGAAGAGGAAAGGTCAAAGTGACCTCCATGACCACCCGGGAGCGGCATGGTTGACCGGGTCAGCTCTTCAGGTAACTAAGTGCTCCACTCGAGAACAGCCGTGATGGGCGGCCTTCTCAGACAATTTCAACTGTAGCTCTGCAAATTTTTTTGGCTCTTAGTTTGCCTTGTTGTTTTATCCAGGATTATCCCCAATTTTTCAAACAGCCTGGTAAGGCTTTTAATACCACAAATTCTTCTCAATGATCAGACATAGCACATATACATTTGAGTGGCCAAATCAAGCTAAACAAATTCGACTTAAGGACTATCTGTTCAGCTGAGACAAGTCACAGAATACAAAAATTGTGCCCTGTAAAAGCCATGCTTTTCAAGTCTGGTACGATATGGCACAGGTTCAGCGCATTTTTTAACACAGCGTGGTCATTAAAGAAGTCACGATTTCAAGGATAATTACCTACCATTATAATTTAAATTTCTACACCTCCATCAACACAACAGAGTGTTCAGGACAAGGTATTATTGTTAAAACATAACACCTTCAAACAACCTATAACAAAATCCACTGATATCAAATGACAAGTCACCTACCACATTGGCTTGATGAGCTACTTTAGCGAATCCACAGCGACTGCTCCACATAACGGTGTAGTTTTCATCTCCAAACAGGGCTTCCCTGACACCACCTGTTGACAGGACAATTTCACGTAACTCAACCATTGCTCCTAAAACAGGAATCAAACACTGTCACAGCACCAGCTGTCACGGAGAAACTGTAATAATTACAATTATTATTAATAATAGAATAGCATTTGTTTAGTGCAAATTCCAGCTCAACAGCAAGCTCTTTGCGCTTTACCATTATCATTTTCCAAGCAGGCCTGAAAATATTCAAAAACAATCTCAACCTCTTGGGAAGCATTCAGTGCAAGCAACCATTTTACAGTTGCTAAAACACTAACGTTCTAACAAGATCTTTCGCTGTCTACGGCCAGGTGCCCATTCACACCATGTGAAGTGCCTTTCCCAAGGACTCAATGCTGGGCTAGAGCCTCGAGCCCCTGACCCCGAACCTCATATATTACAATCCAGTAGCTGCACCACTATACCACCAACGCCACAACTGTTCTGCTATTGGATCATTTTATTCTAATCATTTAAAACTGCCAGACTCTTTTACTCTATCACATCAGTCACCCTTCACTTCCCGCTTTGTAGCTTCAGCAATGGCAAATGGAAGAAACATTTACCAGTGAAACGGGATCCTGAAAATTAAAAGCAAGCTGACATCTAACAGGCACAGACTTATGTTACAAACATGTAAGTAACTCTAGTAAGCCAGCTCACAATTAAGTAAACATGCACTGTAACTAATTGATCTTTAGTGAATGTACCCTGCAGAAATCCAATACATCCCTCTCATGTGAACCCCCCTCTTCCCTCCCCTCCTCTCCTTTCTATCTTAAAAAAATAACACTTTCAATAATTCCAATGACAAAAAAAGATGAGAAATTCCGTAAGATTCATCCACTACGTATGATATTTCAATAGTTATTAGTATTTTAGAAGATGGTGTTGTGCTAAAAGTAATTAATTCTAATCTTTGTTTCTAACGGGTTGTTTTCATTACAACACAAGCATCTTCACCACATACTCAATTTTTTGGCCCCTATATTTCAAGTGAGTATGATAACTTTTGGCTACTTATCCATAAAAAAGTATACAGACATAGATCTAGTAAGGAGATAGCAGGCCGTCTAGAGGCCAGGAGGAGGTGTTGTGGGCTGAGGAGATTATGGCAACAAGGCCCTCTCAATAAAGTGATGCTCATCATAGTTTAAAAGAAAAAGTGCTTATATTTCAGAGGGCTCAAAGCTAACCTCCCAATACAATTCATACAGTGCATAGCTTAGTGAACAGAAGTTACAGGCACCGAAGTTGGTAAAAATATTCCCCCAATATGCCAAGAGAAACACTCACCGGGAGCTATAGACAATAAGTGACCAGACCTAAGAACTTCCACACAGTTGCTGACCGCTCCAGGCGTCACTTTGAAGACTTCCAGAAGGGTAGACCATCCTGGCAAGAGGAACGATTATAATAAAGAGCCAAAGAGGGAAACAAATAGTTTATTGCGAACTTAATGGCTCGGGGATAAGATGGGTCAAAACACGACATAATTTAAAATATAAATGAATAAAAAGAAAAGTTGACCAGACCATCATAGTGACCTGGGTGGTTGTACAAGTGGGAGGAGGGGAAAAAGGTGACATTATACGAACAAGGTTTTTTTTCTAAGCTGCTTCTTAAAACACAGTTTGGCTCCAGAAGCCACTGTTATAACATAACATCAGATTAAATCACAATAACAAAATTGAAACATCCCCTGGGTATGTATACACTGTTTCTATCCATGAGGGCATATTTCTTCAATTAGGACATGTGCAACTTTTGCAGTCTTGCCATATACAACTTTTGCAGCAACATTCTAAATGACAACTTGAGAGCAAGTAAAGCAAAAAAGACCAAGACCTGGAACATGGAAGAGAAAGCGATCTCCAACAATGTGTATCTGCTGGCCCCTCTCCATTTCCAGGGTAGCCATGACATAGTAGAAGTCAACGGGAAGCGTTCCATGGTAGTAGATGATAAGGGCCGGGCCTGATGCTGGAATATTTTCTAAACCTTCCACTTCATAACCTGAAGAAATGGAAAGAGAAAAATACATCATGAAAAATTTCAGAATTACTGAAAACAAAACAAATACAAATTGGGCAAAAGTCTCCTTAAATATAAACAAGTCTACAAAACAAAACATGCTCTCCTGGGAAATGGGCTATGTAGTATAAGTGAACTTCCAGGGTGACACCCTGTTAACACTTTCATACTCTCATAAAAGCTGGTACAAACCAAAACATAACTTTCTATGTAACACTTGAATTAAAACAGTTTTTTTTTAAAAACGTACCATGCCAAATCCTTGCCTGAGCAATCCACAATGCTCCAACCGTCTTTCTTGCACCATACCAAAAATCCCGGTCGTAAGCAGCCTTGAGTTTCATTCTTTGTTTGTAAATGAAGAGCATCAGAGCAGTTACATAGATCAGCACAAGGATGCACAGAGGCAGCAGAAATGTGATGAGAATTGGGTAGACCAACCACAGCACCCACCTGATATAGTCAATATCCAAGCCCTGAACATATTCAATTGCTACATGGAGGAATTCCATCCCAATTTGGTACTCACTGATTCACCACATATAATAAATTAAAACATGGCTAATACCACAGATCTTTGAACTCAACGATGACAGGTTATTTCCTTAAATAGGGGCGTACAGAATTCATATCATTGTGAAGATTTTAAAAAATTGAAGTCTGATTTCTGCTTTTTCTATCAACGATTATATACTGAGAGAAACATCGCATCAAAGCTTGGTTTAGTTCTGAAATGAAAAGGAAAAAAAAAGAGAATCAGTTTAAAGATACATGGATAGAATACCAGAAACGCTAATGAATACTTTCAGTTGCAATGACTAGTCAGCAAAATAACAGCCACGTTTCACCAATAAAAAAGATTACAGCAACAGTAATACAGAGGAGGAAAAGTAGACGACTCAAGAGAAAGAACATCCAACAACAACAACCACAATAATGTTTAATGATAATAAAATACTAACACAATGATATAATATATAAGAAGATCCATACAAAGCGACGAAACCCATTAGACACTATCTACAAATAGCAAACAGTCAAAGCTCTTTCGTCTCAACCCAAGTTCAAGTGATAGTTTGCTCTATAAATCAATATAGTTTCTGTATTTGAGAATTTTATCCATCTGCATGAATAAATTTAATAACATTTTGAAAACAGTTTGTAGTAGAGCAGTAGCTGAGACATGCAATATATGATATACAATAATAATAAAATTTATTTACCTGCAAAGATGTGAGACTAATGCGATTTTTTTAAAACTCAAGAGAGATTTCCCTATTTGCCTAATAGAATTGTGAGTGCAAAAAGACAATACACGATAGAAGAGAATTGAACCAACACAAAGCAAGGCAATGTTGAATGGTTACTGTACCAGGAAAAATGTTAGAGTCGAATCAAACCCAAATTCTCTAGATATGTCAAAGTGAAAATATGCTCCCAGGTCTACTGAACAAATTACAAATATAAGGATTTTCATTTAACATTCAAATTCAATTCAATATTTTAATGGATGAAAATAAATTTAGGCTAATTATTAAAAGCAAGTGGCTATTCTCTGGTCACGTCGATCAATAGAATTCTCCAGCTTCACGTAAAGTTGCACATGTCATGTTGCTTCTCCACAGCTTTCATCTCCCCTGTCGGCATGTTATGGCCATTATTGTTGAAACTGAGTTCTGAGCCAGATGTGCCTTCTTGTACTTTCTGGTTGTAACTGAAGGTTGTTGGCGCTTCTGGTGCGGTCACCTCTGACACAGAAATTCCTCCTTCTGTCACTGGAGCTTTTCATTGAGTGGAGGCTGCGTGTTCACCTCTTGATCTATTATAATGGTGAATCGCATTCTGAAGAAACGCCGACCCTGATGAATGTTTGTGTAAAAGGCCATAATACGTCGACTGGGGAAATGGAAATTTGTGTCAATCTATTGACTGGCGCAACGTCGAAGAATAGCCACTTTTGCAATTAATAATGGGAGTGTATACACAGACCCGGTAACCGGGAACAAAGTAACGAAGTAGACCCGACAGGGGAAATCTTTTGTGATTTCGGAAAGTTTCAGCGCCCTCTTGGCTCAGGGTGGGCCTAGGTTCTTCTAGATCTATAGTCTAGGTCTAGATCTAGACGGACAGACATTAAAAATAATTTTATAATATAGGTTCGAGGCCTAGATCTAAATGAAGATTGTGGATGTCTTTGCGATGAATGATCGTTTTTTCTTCATTTTGGAGTTGGAGATCAATAAAGACAATTTGAAGAAAAGAACAATGTCATAATTTCAATCGAGCAGTCACCCTCTCTATTTCTCTGTCTCTCTCCATCTCTCTCCCCTCTTTTTCTGCCTCTCTCTCTCTCTCTCTCTCTCTCTCTCTCTATCTATCTCTCTCCTTTGAGTATCGCTCCCCTTCCCTCTCTCTTTGTTTGTCTCTGTCTTTCTTTTTCCCCCCCCCCACCTACTTTCCCACTCTTCTCTCGTTCCCTCCTGTCAACTGGGTCATGTGATATTTAATATTAATTGTTAGCACTTCCCCCTGTTCTCTACCCCCATCTCTCTTTCTCTCTCTCTCTCACTCACACACACACACACACACACACACACACACACATACACACACATACACACACACACGAACACACAAACACAATATACCGGCGGGTCTGACTGGGCGCTGAAACTTTCAGAAATCACAAAAGGTTTCCCCAACCAGGTCTGTACACTTCGTGACTTTGTTCCTGGTCACCAGGTCTGTATAGATCTACACTTTGATTAGGGTTAACAATTTAATGCCTCTCTATGATACTCTATCTATCTAACTTAACTAGATCCAAGGCATCGTATTTTTGGTAAATAAAGCTCACTCTGACACTCTTTTTATTCAAGAACTTAGCCAACCCTGTCCTCCAAAACTCACCTTCACAAAACAAAGTAGCAGACTAATACAAATACAAATCAAATTCATAAGCTGATTTATGATTACACCCAGCCGGCATACACCACTGTACTACAGGTAAAATTAGGTCTGGCTATTGTTACAGAGCTCTGTGGCTTCGAATGTTCCGGATGACTAGATCTAACTCCAATCCAGAGGGGTAAACAAAAAGACAAGGGACGCAATAGAATGTAAACAGATCTATGGTGACTAGAGGACTGATCTAGATCTAGATTCTAGATCTAGATCTAGAATCTAGATCTAGAATCTAGATCTAGAAGTATTAATATAAAGAAAATGTCCACTCTCAGACGCCGACAGTATTTACTGAGGCAAAGCATAAGCGACACTTTACTACGTAAAGGAGCGGGGAGGAATCTTACCTTGGTCACTTGACAATGATTTTGTTGATATTTTGGTTTCTCAGTTTCTCTGCGAACACTTTGATGGAAGCTATTACCAGGTATTCAAAAGTAGATCTAATCTAGATAGTAATAATATACGAAGCCAATATTATAACGAAACTACTGAAGTCAGTCTGCAAAAATAACCAAACTAATATAATCATCCTATATTCTAAATCCTTGTGACCGTGGAATTGAAAGATACAGACATGTAAAAACGGAAAAAATCAAAATAACTCAACTACAATTGTTCATATTTGCTTTGGCTTATTGTAGATCGTTTTATAAGTAAGTCAAATTGGCAGAAAATTACTTACCTCGGTAAAATGTCTTATCGTAATTTTCAAAGTAACTGTTCTAAAGTAGGCCCAGAGAGTATTTAATACTAGGCCTATGTACTTCGGCTAAAGTAAAGATCGAAATGAAGAGAGGGAGGCGAAAAGGGGGAACCACTCTTATTTACTGGCCGGGCTGCATCATCAGCCATTCTTACACTCGTACTCGTACTTTCGTTTCTTTCCCATAACAAAAGAAAACATGAAGGCTCAGAAACTTAGTCCAGCCAGATGATGATTTTTGTCCCAGAGTAGATGCTCTGTGTGAAGAGAGTTTCTATGTGATAGTGGCCTACTTGTCTGTCTGTATTGAATCTGTATGGTCTATATTCTAAATTGACTGAAACTAAATAAATAATCTTGCCAAAAAAGTAGTAAAAAAGTGTGTCACTGCTGGCCTTGTTGAACTACGCCTTTTGCTGACTCAAGATAGATCTAGATCTAAATCTAGGTCTAGATCTATATCTAGAATCTACGTTTAGGTCGAAGACAACTTTGAGGGTAAGAAACTCGTTCTACTCTGAAGATCTAATCGACTATATATATATATATATATATATATATATATTATATATATTATATATATATGTGTGTGATGTATTGTGGTGAAATCAGGCACTTGTGAGAAATTGGCGTTTTTCGCTATGGAAATTTTGTCCGAATTTTTGTTTTTGGCTCTACACTTTGTACGTCCATTCAAAAACACTTTTATACGTTAATTTTTATAGAAAAACGTTTCTAAGGACTCTTAAGCTGTGGAAGTCACCATACTTTGGCAGCCATTTTCTCGCAAATTTTACTTCTGAAACCAGGCAACCCTTCACTCTCAAGAATCTCGACTTCTATTCAAGATAAAATGGATATTTTTTCTTCGAAGGCAAGGCGAATTTGCCGTTAAAATGGTACCAATAACTCCATTTGTCCAAAAATTGACGAGCACCTGATTCCACTGCGTCATGACACACGAAATATTTTCTGGGTTTTTGAAAATCACACATATATATCATTCGAATGGCTCTGCCACACTTCCAAAATTGATGAGCACCTGATTCCACTGCATCGTGACACACGTAATATATTTTCTGGGTTTTTAAAAATCACACATATCATTCAAATGGCTCTGCCACACTTCCAAAATAGCTGTGAATAGTGCAAAAATCATAACAGTTAAAAAAAGTAAAATCAAATGGGCACAGCTCTGCTACTCGTCAGCCTGAAAGCGATACATTTAGTTTTTACTTGTTCAGGACGAGTAAACATTTATTAATTCCATATGCCGTATTACACTTAAAGAATTGAGATCTGATTCGATCAAGTGCCATTCTGGCATTCAATCTCAGTTTATTGCCAGTTTAGTCATGTCTCTATTATAGGCTATGTATAAAAGCCTCTTGCTTTAATTTTTGTCTTTCTTTTAGTTTAGGATACTGTCCCATGTAATAAAATTTACAGGCTGGAGAATACCCATCATTTAATTTTGTTTCTCTCTAAATTAATTACTTTGTCTTTGTAAACAAGTGAACCTAGCTATATAAGTTCTTCGTGATCTAATGAATAAACTCCCTGTAAAAGAGAATTGTCTGTTGAAAAGTAATTTGATGTCGAAGTCATCAGACAGGAATGCGCTGGTGCCACTGCCAGTGGCTCACCGCCATAGCACTTCCGACATTGAGCCGCTTGGAGCGGGTTGCCCATGGTAAAGAGTTAACGGCACTTGTAACACAAAGTAGGTCATAAGTGCAGAAGATTAGAGGTCCTGTATCACAAAAGAGTAACAAATCCAAAAAGAAGAGAACATTTTAAATGATTTTATATTTATCAATGGGATGCATCACTTATATTTTAATGGAAATTTGCAAAGGTAATTGTTTCAGAATCTTTGAGTCGTTCAGTCTCTACAAGCTCTCTCCATTTTTTGTGTGTTTTGATTCAGCTCTAAAGAATGGATGACAGAAATGAAAAACTGAAGAGTTACGAAGCAGCAGTTCGACATAGAGTGCAATGTGAGGAAAGAGCTTTTCGCATTGTAAACAAACTCATAGATGGGGCTGTGGAAGAGTCCTATCTCATTGAATGTGTAAGTTTTGTAAAATAAGTTTGATGTGCCCCATGGGTTTTCTCTGTGGAATCTGCTAAACAGCATTTGATCCTTAACTTTTCTTAAACTAAAAATTCCAATTTCAGAATTTAGTTTCCCTGCTATTCTTACCTTTATTTTCTAAAAATAAGTTTCGCTTTTATCTTTTTCACTTAGGATTAGAAAACTTATGAATTTCATTTTCATCAACCCAAAAATAAATAGCCCTTAAATTCTCGTCACACATTTTTCAGGCCATATTTTTATGTTAAAAGTTGTAAGAGAAAAATTTATTTGACATAGACAAATTAATATGCCCCTCTCCTTTTTCATGCTGTTTATTTTCATTGTTCATAATTGAAAACACATATATGTAAGCCTGGAAGTGTAAGATTATAGTCATGTAGCTGTAGATGATACTGAATAATTTACCTGTGTGAAAATGATACTTCTTGTTTCATCTTCTGGATTTATTTTGTTCCTATCATCAGGGCCAGCTTATAAGCCGAGAGCACTACAGTGATATTGTGGAGGAGAGAGCTATCAGTCTTCTGTGTGGCTACCCACTGTGTGATAAGCCTCTGGAAAATGTACGTATGACGGGAGCGTCAGTGTCCTAAACTGCCTCACCCCGAGTTCTTTTTAGCTGTACAACTCTTAAGCCCTGACTTTTGAGGGGGTCTTTCAAGACTGAGTCTTGTTCGTCTGCGCTGTCGGCTTCTTCTTCTGTTCTCGCACTTGACTCAAAGATGAAACGAGCAGAAAGTCAAAACCTTAGATTGATATAATATTGTGTGGGGGAGGGGGGAGGGGGGACGTTTTGTTACATGAAATATTTTTTTGCCTCTCTCAAGCAAAGATTTTTGGGTCTAAATTTATGCTCTCAGTCTGACTTCCGATCTCATCATCCCATGAGCTGAAGTTGTTGTTACTAGGCTTAAATTTGGTATCATTTGCAAAGTAATACACTGTCATAACAATATTAAAAATACGTCTTTGAATGACTCAAACTGCTTTGAGCGAAGGGTAAGCTCTTTTTTTCCGTTATAGCATGAAAAGTTCAAGCTCAATACATAATACATTTTCTTAAATCAACACTGCTTAGGATTACCTCCTAGATGTAGTACTGCTTGCACATTGATAAAACAAAAGGAGTTGTTGGTTATCATTGTAGTGTCGAGGTTGCTAGACTCGTTTTCGTAAAGTTGCCGGCTCAGGACTTTAAGGCTCAGGCTCCATGTTATGTCCTTGGAAAAGGCACTCGACACAAAGTTTCTTTACTTCACCCAGGTGTAAATGGTTACCCGGCCATAGACAGTGAAAGGTCATGTCTGTGTGTTTGCGTAACTGACTTCTCTGTATGTTTGTGTAAACTGACTTCTTACATATGCTTCCCAGGAATTTGAGATTGTTTCAGAATGCTATGTGGTCTGCTGGAGTAATAGATTGTAAAGCACACAGAGTTTGCTGTTGAGCAGGAATTTGCACTTGACAAAAGCTATTTATTTACTTACTATAAATGATAAATTGTTTGTTGCACATATGAGACATTTAGACTTTTGATAAGTACAAACATACACCATACATGTGTTGCGACGTGGTGAATCAGGGGCTTGTCAATTTTTTGGGCATATGGCATGGTGATGTTGGTTTTGATGTTTAAAAAAATCCACCTATCTTGAATAGAAGTTTAGACGTTTCAGTAGAAGGAGGTGGTGGTTTCCTGGTGTCAGGGGTAAAATTAGCGGAAAAATGGCAGCCAGCATTTGGTGACTACCAAAGCTGAAGTGTCCTTGAAAACTGTAAATTTACAATTGTTTGTGTCTGGAATCAATGTTGTTCAGTAAAATCCAAGCTGGAATGTGCTATTTATTAAATTAACATTAATTGTGTGGAACCCAAAACAAAAAAGTCTATAAAATGTCCCCAACTTCCCATGTATGCTGTGATGTCAAAAGATGAAGTTTCTTCCTTTTATGCTTTACTGATAGTTATTTATTTATTGAACGATGTTTATTTGCAGATTCCAAAGAAAAAGTTCCATATCTCCACAAAGTCGAACAAAGTTTATGATATTTCTGAGAGGAAGGTATGCTGTTTGATATGTTGTCATGATTGTTTTGCAAAGCAGATTCAGTATATTTTATCCCTATTTTTCAATTGTAAAAGAATATCTGCATTGTTTATTCACTATGTTCAATGTGAGATTTACATCATTAGACTGCTTACTTGTTTCCTATTTTTCCTTATGATTTCCAGTTGGACATTCTTGGACATAGGTGAATTGGAGAGTTTGTAACTCTTTGCCTTGGTCCTATCAGGGATGGTTATTAAATTTGAAAGACCTCTCACTGCTGTCAGAGGTTAGGCAATTAAGCTGGCAAACCGAAAGGTTGTGGGTTCGAACTCCATCATGGGCCCTATATTGCATCCGTGGGAATGGATACCTTTTAGTCGACAGCAAAAGATCTTTCCAGTTTATTAGTGTTTGAGTGTTAAATCAGCTGCTTGCACTGTATGCTTCTTGGAAGCTGAGAATGTTTTTGAATGTTCAGCAGTCTGCTTGGGTAACGTGCACTGAATGTGCGGTTATAACTGCAATCATTATTTCTATTCAGAATTAATAAAAGACAATATACAGACATTACCTGTTTCTGTAGTGTAACAATTCGGCATTTTACTGTTGCACAAAGGAGACCCGAGTTTGATTCATGAGTGAAGAGTATATTTCTATCAAGTATTTAAGTCTTTCTATTGGGATGTTGTATCCCTCTCAGCCCAGGAAGACCCTGAGAAGCCCACCTCCTAAATAATCTAAATTGTGTGGATGAAAGCATAAAAACACCTACATTAAAAAAAGAAAGAGCTAGAGCAGTTCCATTATGATTAGTTCCATATTTTGACTTTAAATGTTTTTGTGTCATCTCAATCAGAATTTTTGCAGCAACCAATGTTTGCGAGCATCCAAACACTTCCAGAACCAGATATCCGAGTCTCCTGTGTGGGCTCGGGCCAAGGAGCCGCCTGTCCACTTAAAGATCCTGCCTCTGTCTGACAACAAGTGAGTCCGTCATATTTTTTAAATTTGTTTTTGTTTGAGTTACTGGCCTAACTTTGTTGTAAATTTTTGTTTGTTTTGTAAAAAAATTTTGTTTGTTTTAGTTAGAGTTTTATGCTGCTCGCAACTGCAAAAGGTCATATGTGCGCACATGACACAAATTGTTTTCACATTACGAATTTTAGTGTTGCTAGGAACTAATTTTTTGTTTTGCCCGGATGGCGTCCAAAGCTTACTCTTATCGATTTTAGAATCACTGAGGGATCTTCAATGTGCACAACTTGCACACTGCAGCTCCAAGTTTTTTTCGCCCTTTTCCGAGAAGGCTAGGAGTTGGATCCGACATACCCTAAGGTCAAGGGTGTTGCTGAAAGACAGCTGTAAGAAGGAGCCAGGAGTAGTTTTTTTTCCCTTAAGAACACTGTTCAGATAATTTTGGAGGCAGTTGCTTTGACTATGACTGTCAGAGCCAACTAAAGCTGAGGCGATACAATTACAAAATCCCTTGTGAGAGACAGAGATACTAGGTATAATTCCTTCCCCATGAGGAAATCAAGCTTATGTCTTCTGGGTGTAATGATAAAGAGCCTAAGCATTACATAGCATAGACACTGGTAAAATCCCTGCTTGATAAGAAAAAGGCATTTCAAAGATGGAGCCCTTGGCCTAGAGGCTACAGTAAGGAAGGAGGAAAAACAGTGGAGATAATGTACCGGTACGTGACACACATGTATATCTGAGCACAAATACTCATTTCAATTACTCTATTAATTAATTGTTATTATTGATATATAGCGGATTTCATGTACATTGCACATTTCCTTCCTGTCTTAAAGCAAAAATTATACAACAAATACACTTATTCATCAACAGCAGCAGTACAGAAAACAAAAAGTTAGAGCGGTTGCACTTCTTTCCAGTGTGTTTTTTTGCCATATTGCTTATCCAACTGGAGACCAGCCTAGACTTTTGTGTCTCACAGAAGATTCCTGACGGTTAACCAGAGACTTCCTGCAAAATACTCACTATATTAACTTTTCTAAAAATGTTTTACCAGATTTTAAAAAAATAGTTTGCAGCTGAATTGAATCCTTCACCAGGTCGCCTTAGGGGAAATATGTTATTGGACCTGGCAAGCAGGTTTTTTAAAAATACGTATTTACTTGACAAAAAGCAGGTACTAACTGTTCTGTACATCCAAACTACTAAATTTCACAATTTGTAGTCTGAACACCTTGCGTATTATAATACATACTAATAGTATTGGTTAGAATTGTCCCTGACACAGTGAAATGGAATTTACTCTGAAGAGATTTGCCACCTCCACATTCATTCTGCAACGCAAATTATGCGCAGCTCGGTCTGTGGATTTCTTTGATTGGATCCTTTCATAGACTAGAAATGAAAGCTTGTTGGAGAAATGATTGAAATTTTATTTACTCTTGTCATTTGTTTTGTACGGCATCTTTAAAATCACTGGATATTTTGTTTTGTGTTCACTAAGGGGCTTTGTTGGAGATGAAGTTGTCGGCACAAATCCTCGGAAAATTCTAGAAGATGAAGTTTCCAGTCTCAACAACTTGCCTGAAAAAGAAAGTTCCCTGGCAAAATCTGAACGTAGTCGAGTGGCTCCAACTTCAGGGAAGAAACCAGGTACTAAACCTCAGGAGGCATGTACAAAGAGCTGTGACAGTTCCTCTGAGCGTAGTGAACATGTTGAGAAGGCTGATGAACAGAACAACCGTACTTCTGATACTGTCAGTAACAGTGAAAGTGTCGCTACCAAAGACAATACATCGACCACCCAGCTCTCTCAAAACCTAGAGCAGTTGACCATTTGTGATGTAGTTGAGAAGAGTGATAATTTAAACCAAAATAATGCATTGACTTCAACAGAAGGTGGCAAAGAAGAAAGTGTAGTCCTTGGTGTGCCTAAAACGTGTAGTTCTAATTCAGTGGAAAAGACTTCGGCTCCACCGCAGCTTAATGATGCAAGTTCAGGGCATGATGGCAGCAAAAAGACAGCTCCTCCAGCATATGATTCATCAAAGAAATCACAGGCTGGCATCCCCTCTCACGCAGTCCAAAGTTCAGTAAGCCCTTCTGCAAATCGGGTCTCTACAGATGACAAAATGCAACGTTTATTGGAGTTGATGGCACGCAAAAAATCTGTATTGTCAGGCATGGTGGAAATGCAGACTGTTGTTGTCAGCAAAGCGCCTGAGCAATGTAAATCACCTGATCAACGTAAATCTCACAAGGAAAATGATCAGACAACTACACCTGCAACCAAGGTTGCACCAGATATGAAGCAGAAGGTAACGAAAAAAACAAAGAAAAGCAAGTCTCCTTCTCCTCTTTCACCGCTCACTTGTATTAAGAACTCCCTAAAGAGGTGGATATCTGGTGCCACTGTAGAATACCTCAAGACCACAGACAATAAATCTCCCAATGCCACGGCAGAGCTGCCTGGGTTCTCAGATCCCCGTGTTCAGGCAGGCTACGCCGACTTGTGTCACCGACTCGGGGCGAGGGAGAAGGAGATGAACGCCTTTGTGAAGGAGACGGTGGACGGTGACAAGGCCCAGACTCAAGGACAGAATGACGTGCCAAAAAAGTTGCCAGACTACAAGGCCCTGAAGGAGGAGGCTGATGCTTTCCAGCTGAAGGTCTCGGAGTTTCTGACTGGGAAGAGAGCAAAAGACAGAGCAGGTGCCAAAGTAAGTTGACCGGATAACTCCTTATCTTGCACTCATGAATTGAGAAACTTTCATGAAGGGCTTAGAGCCAAATGGAAAAACATGAGTTAAGTCCTATGCCTAAATATAAGAGTTATGCTCTTTGTCTAAACATGAGTTATGTCCCATGTCTACTCATGGCTTTGAGCTTTAGCCTACGAATTAATGTTCTTTTTGGTGAGGCTTATTTTTAAGCAAGTTCCTCAGTATGACTAATTTTTTTTTCCCAAAATACTTGCATTATTTTGAGGGATATATATTTCCTCTGTTTTGTCAGTTCAGCAATTTAAGATGTAGTTTAGGGTTGTGTTATGTGCCTTTGACATGTACACATAATTGCTTTTTGTTGGCTTTTAAATACCCATAAGATAAAATATTTTACTTTTTTTTCAAAATAGGAGCTGGAGAAGAATCTTTTCAATATTTGTTCTATTAGTTACCCTTTACTGATCCAAGGGGGAGAATTTGGGTCACATTGCCAAATAATGTTTCAATTTAAATAAAAATAGATGTCTGCTGTACATGTAAACATTAAGTCTTATAATGCCTAGAGATTCTTAGACCAGTAGATCTCTTTTCAAATTTCCATGATGCTTTGGTTTGTGATGCTTTGCTTTGTGTAAGATTTATGTTCATTTTGGATACTGATATCTTCGGAAAAAGGATTTCACCTTGTGTTCAAAGAAAAAGAGTTAGATTCTCACGCATATTGGGTTGATATTTTTTTAAACAATATTTTCATTACTCTGCTGGGGTAATCTTGCTCACCTCAGGGTTAGCACTGACAGACAGGCTTGAGGCAGTAGGTTCTACTTCTTTTCTCTTCCTCTTTTGTTTATGTTTATCTGCCTGCCTTACCGTTCCCCGGCCCTAAATGACCATTTTTGCGTTGATATGCTTCTCTTTACTCAAACAAACAAAGCAAAACAGATGGATTAAAATAACAGGAAGAAGAGAAATGGAACCTATCCGAGGCACTGTGCAATCACCCACAATAATTTTTACAAACGTATCCCACTTCTGTTTGAAAAACTTTTGACACTGGGACAAAAAACAAAGCACTTTGAGTTCTTTGCAAATCACACCAATATGTGTTATGTTTTCAGGAGAATATGGAACCAAACGATGTGTTTATCCCAACGGTTGATGCCTATGATCAGCACCAGATACGGGTCCGTATTGTGCTAGATCGACTCGACAAATCGTAAGTTGGATGTTGTTTTCTACTCTTAATAATTTTGTCAATGTAACAAAATTAAACATTAACAAAATGCATGATGTAAACTCGTCTGAGGATGTAGGACGAGGTATACTGAGATCAAACCATGCCTAATGTGATGGGGAGATGATTTGGCAAGATATAATTTTTAATTGTTATAGAGATAGAAATGTCATACATAACTTGATAGATATAGGATGTAAATGTATTTATAATTTCAAACATTCACATACCAGCAAGTGGTTCGAGAGCATGGCTATCAGGTTCATTCCTTCACTATTCCTCTATTCTTTCAGTTGTTTTGTCTTGAATTTTTCAGATGGCTCAAATACCATCACTGTGAAGATGTGCTTCTCTTTAATTCAAACTTTTCTTACCCCTCACCATCACTGGTAACATTGCTATATGTGTTAGGACGTGGTGAAATCAGGCTCTCGTCAAATTTTGGGCATGTAGAGTTATTGATATCACCCTAAAGCTTGTTCATTTGTCTTGCTTTGGATGAAAACAATATCCGTTTATCTTGAATAGAAGTGGAGATAATAGCGAATGAAGGAGGTGGGGGTCACCTGTTTTCAGAGGTAAAATGAGTGAGAAAAAGGCCGCCAAAGATGAGTTTTTTCCGTAGCTTGAGAGTTCGTGGAAACTAAAAATTTACGTTTTTTGTGCCTTTAATCAACGTTTTTATGAACAATCCAAACAGAAATGAGTTCTTTAATGGGAATGAAAGGTGTTGAGCCAAAAAAACCAAAAATTTGATAAAAATTCACAAACCAGCGGAAAAATGCCGGTTTCTTCACTGTGATTATTTTGACGAGTGCCTGATTTCACCACGCTGCCTCACATATATATATTTTTGTAGCTGAGAAGGAGGAGAGATTAGGATGATTGACGCGTCGCTTTGAAATTGAACCCAGGGCTCTTGAGCTAGTGTTTACAGGACGTGTGTGCCTGAGCTTCATTAAGTGGACCACTAAACTTTCAATGCCACTCACTAAGCTGGTGGGTGTTTGGCAGGCTAAGTGCTCAGGTGAGGTTTGTACAGTCGGCAACATTTTACTGCACGGTTGTAACACCTCTATTCTTTGGCTTTTATATGACCTATTTATGTTGCAAGTGCTGTAAAAATTTTAATAAAACTAAAAAAACAACTAAAAAAACACTGAGGTGTGGAGTCAGTGAGCAGAATGGTAAAGGTGACACACATCAGAATCAGATGTACTCTTGGGTCTGTAAGATTTCATGCTCGCTGCAGTGATTGAAACGCTCAAACATTCTAAATCCGTCCCCACTTGCATTACTCTCCCTCTATTCACAACCTCATTCTTTCAGAGATTTGATCAAAAGTTCCCTGTCCATCATCAAAGGTCAGATGATGATAATATAGTGGGGACTGAACTTTGCTTTCATAAGATTTTCAACTTTAGCTCGAAATGACAATTCATTGAGTGATCACTGGGGTGTGTCCTTTAGCATGACGTATTAAGTTAAAAAATTAGTAGCAACCTCTGAGGCTATTGATATTTATTGGTTTGCCTGATATATATATATGCCTTTGCACATGATTTTGAAAGAGAATTATTTTCAGAGGCTGAATAAAACAGGGTTTTTATATTGTAATGTGGCTCTGAACCTTATCAAGGGTGGTAGGATGATGCCAGTGATAGATCATTTTTATTAAAGTTGTCTGTTGTTTTTGCCACTTTTGCTGTACCTTGCAACAAATGACCGTTATTGTGCATATCCCTGTCACACTAAAGTTAGGTTATTTCCATCGCTTGAAAGTCTGTGGTGACTGAATATTTACATTTTTTGTATGCCTTTAATGAACGTTTTTCAGTAAAACTCACACAGAAACATGTTATTACTCAAACAAACATCATAATTCTTACCTTGTATTTTCCCCACGCTTTATAAGTTTGGTTGAACTGCTGGGAGCCTTGAGGCTGACGGTGCAGGATGTTTCAGGACGTCTCCGAGAACTTATCTACACATTTCGGTACGTTGAAAAGTTCAGTGAATGTCTCGTCGTGATTGTAGTAGTAGTAGAAGTTGAGGCTGTTTATTGTATATGAGTTGTGGGTGGAGGTTTATAGTAGGTAACGTAAACACGGCCTCGCTGGCACTCGCGGCCTTCCGACCGCGTGGTATCGGGGTAATTCCAATCGCTGTTTTTTTGCTCTTTCGCTATAAAACACCAAATGCCGTACGCCTTGTAAAAGTTCAGCTTTTCCTCGTTACAATGGTGTAAGTTGTTTATATGTCCGATTATTAGGAGCTGGAGAATCGCTGAGGAAAGCAAAGCCCCTCGCGGTCGGAATGCATGGTCGGCCGGTTTTTTAAAAATGCTTGCGGAACGAGGGATGATTAAATACCGTCTTTTCATTGGCTGAGAACTGTAGAACTTTAAACGGGCTTCTCCGTGGTATTTTTTTACCTTTGGCGTTTAAATAGAAAGCCTTTAAAAATACTGTCAAAATTTTCAAAGATCATTTTTTACACGAAATATGCAAAACACCGGCTCAAAAAAGGTGTCAATTAAAAGATCAGTGTATTTTCTATTAGAATAAAGTAATCAGCTTGGAATTATTTTACACCAATCCTTCTGCGAGACTCGGAAAGCATGTCCCCCCCCATGCGGGGTACACTACAGTATAGAGCCGACTCGCTCGCCGCGGGGGCCGGTGCGGCGCCAGCCGGGTCAACGCTCGGTGTGCTTGTTGAAATAACGACAGATCATCGTGTTTGCGGCAATAAAATACTGATTTGTAATGATCTCACAGTCTTGAAAAAAATTAGGCTCCATATATTTGTTATAGTGATTGTACTCTGTTAATATGGAAATGTTTAGTGCACTTGGTACTCTTTTATTATCTGTCAAACATGGGGTTGCAGCCAGTGACGGACTTTAACAAATTTGATCAAATTTTAAGCAGCTACCATTTTCTTAAAATTTGACAGAGAGGTTTAAGAATGGTACCAAAATGCTCAGTGGATATGGGCCTTTCAAATGGAAGAGATAAATTTGGCATACAGCTACTTTGAAAATTTAGTTTCTGGTACCTACTTATAAGTTATGACGGATCACACGCTTCCTTCAACAGCATTTGATACTTTATTGTTACCCATTGGTCGACTTGTGTAAACATTCATTGAAGGAACCAACAAAAACGACAGGTTAATGGATTATGACAGCTCGTTCACAGCATCAGGGCCTATTCAAAATTTATGACAAAGCGTTAGGCTATAAGAGACATACTGGTGGCAGTCCCAGACATGTAATTTGGCTGTAGGTTGATAAAATGAGGTGGCCTCGGCCGCATTGGACAAGTGACCATTTTACACCGTTAAATTATATCGAAAAAAAAGTGCAAGGCGGGAAATGGAAAGTGGCCATCTGTACAGGTGATTGTATTATGCAGGTGGACGTCATGGCAGGTTCAACTGTACCTCTTTATGACCAAAAATTGGCGAGTGCCGATTTCCCCAATGTCGTGCACATATTAATGTTACATCGATTATATAGAAGGCAAATTATTACCCCAGGGCAGTACTTATTTTGTTTACATTAGTCCCTTTTTTAAAGGGGCCAAATGTCATCAAAAGGTTGAAAGAAGTTTGTTACAATATTAGATCAAACTTTATTATAGTGTCAAAGCGAATCTGACAAATTTTCGATGCTGGCCTATTTTCTCTCTCTCTCTTGTATCCAGCTTTGAGAAAGACACCATTGTTTACAAGCCTTGGGAATGGACACTTGTTGCTGTATTCATCCTGAAGATGTAAGTCAGGGAATAGTGTATAATGACTTGCATATCATTGACCAGCTGTTCAGATGTACCAAGATTTATATTTTAGTTTTTTAATTGCAGTTGATTAATCTGTGGTATTCATTGCATATGCTCAAAAAATATTTTGTCAAAATTCAAATTTTGAAGCTTGAAAAGGGCAAGATAAGATAATTAAAGTGCGGACCACTGCTAAAATAATAAAACATTTTTGGTCACCTCAAAAAAATTGTTTTTTGGGGCTTAGAACATTTGAAAAGCTGGTCAGATTCTTTCATCCCGCCATTGATGTATGTGAGGCAGCGCTGTGAAATCAGGCGCTGTGAAATCTTGAATCACATCTGGTTGTTATTTTACTATTCTGTTTCATCTCAGGTTAGTTATTGATTCATACGCTCTTATGAGATAACTTTATTTCATTAGAAATTTCTTTTGATTTTAGTTTTAAAAATTAGCTTTTTTCAGTCAGTGTATTTGGTGAGTCTGCGTGTTTGTAGATATGAATGTGAGGCAGCATGGTGGAATCAGGCGCTCGTCAATTTTGGGGCACATGGAGTTATTGGTACCATCTTAAAGCTTGTTTATTTTTCTTCCTTTCAAGTAAAAAAATATCAATTTATCTTGAATACAAGACGAAATATTCACAATTGAAGCAAGTAGGGGTCACCCGGTTTTAAAGGTAAAATTAGCAAGAAAATGGCTGCCAAAGTTTGGTGACTTTCAAAGCTTGAGAGTCCTTGGAAACTGTAAATTTACCTATTTGTGTCTTTAATCAACGTTTTAAGTAAAAGTCACACAGCAAATTATTTTTAAGTGGACATAAAAAGTACTGAGCCAAAAAACTAAAAAACTCGATAAAAATTGCCAAAGGGAAAGAAAAATGCAGTTTTCTTCAATTTCATTATTTTGACGAGCGCTTGATTCCACCACGCTGCCTCACAATTGTCTATTCCTTTTTGCAGCCACTTGAAAATAAAAATGAAAACGTCGAGCAAGTGTCATATCTTTAGTATTTGGGTGTTACAATAGACAACAAACTCGACTGGTATGTCAACACTTCTCTTCTGCATAAAAAAGTGAACAAAAGACTATTTTTTCTAAGTAAGCTCATGTATTTTAAAGTTGATAAATCATTGATGTCCATATTCTCTCATTCATTAGAAAGTATAATCAATTTCTGTATAACAGCGTGGGCCAGGAACACAAGACAACAAGATAAAGAAAAATGTGAATCGATTAATACGGAAAGCATGCAAAATTTCAACATCTACATTCCCTTACTTCGATGAACTATACATTATAGCTTGCACTAGAAAAATTAATTTCATATTTTTGGACAATAAACGTCTCTTGTTCCCTCAAATAAAAATACCAGTCAGAAGTAAAAGACCTAGGCTTCTGATCTGTAGCAAAGAAAGATGCAGAAGGTAATTCTTACCGTCATCCATCAAACTTCTTCCATCTTAATCATTTTTTTTAAAGTATTCATATGACCTTAGAGCATGCATGAGAATACCATTGAGTTACAATCAGAATACTGAGTATGTATCAAGCTTAACTTTATTATTGTTTATATTACCATTCATTTATATTATGCACGTGACTGTGAGCCTGTTTGTGAGTGCAAGCATACTACTATTATATTGTTATGGTTATGTGCAAAGATGTATGTGGAAAAGAGGATGTGAGAGAGAAGAGAGGTTTTTTTTTTTTTGTGTGTGTGTGTATGGGTGTGCACCTGTGTATACGTGTGTGTGCATGGTTGTGTGTGTGTGCGTGTTTGTGTGTGGGTGTGTGTATGTGCCTGTGTGTGTGTATATGTATATATGGTGAAACACCAAACCAATGTGCCAGGATCTGGACAACAAGGTGTATCTTATCTTATCTTGTCTCTCAATGTATATACTTCATTTGTATTTAAAGGGGATCCTATCTTTGTTGTTTCGACAGGCTTGCTTTGAAGCATCCGACCATTTCTGCAGCATTCGCTCAGGAGTCAGCCATACGATTTTTCAAAACTCTGCTTGAAGGCATCGGCCATTGTGAGAAGGACTTAGACAACCAAGTGAAAGATTTAGTCTCGTGTCGTCACGAGGACCTGTGACGAGAGGAGTCTTGGTTTTTTTTCTTAATGATTCTACTGATCCTTGTAGAGATGCTTTGTTCACGATGATGTACAGTGTGCAATAATGGTAGATAACACAGGAAACAGCGTGGAACAGCACACTCTCCCTTGTTTGCCATATCAGGCAGAAGGGCTAGAACTTAGATGGCTCCTGGATCAGAAAAGTAAAAGTCATGAAAAAGTCACCTGTCGTCACCATTCAGCACCTGATTTGAGTGGCGGTCAGCTTGTCTCGCACATGGACATTCAGCTGTGGTCAGTCACTCTGCTTAACCATGCTTTTGCTATATGTCTCTGTGGATGTTTTACACTCTTTTGGGCATAATTTGGTTCATTGAGGAAGCTGGCTGCTTTGACCCTGTCAAACATCTCAGAAGACAGAAAAGAGATTCTGTATAAAAATACCTCCCCTCATAGGAATTGAACTCAAGTCTTCTGCATGCAACACCTAGATATGTGAATGGGTCTCTGAGCAAGCAGTCGTACACAAGCCTATCAGTGGACGGAAAGCTCATCATTGGTTTATTTACTACACTCAGTCTTGACTCAAGACATCCAAGATGTAGGAATTTTACCAGTGTGCTCCGTGCCTTGATTGGGCCTTACTAAAAAATCACTCCCAAAGAGAGTCTCAGTCTTTTTTTCCTCCCTTACTTCTTCTCAGTGTTAATGTTGATCAACATAGTCGACCCACTGCGCTATGATCAGTGTCTTTGTACTGTACTGCTATCGGTTCTCATGATCAAAATAGAGTCCATCAATGACCACATTGGCGTCTGAAAGAATAAAGAAATGTCTGCCAAAACTGCTTATCACTCTTTTGGAATCTATGTTTAAATATATCTCTAACACCTGGCATAGTTTACATTTGTATGTAGTTCGGTTCAGTGTGATGCTGGAGTGGGAGGTTGGAGAGCGCCATCGGAAGATTTTACTTCTTTACTTTCCCTCTGTTGTTTCTGTCCGTCTGTCTGTCTGTCCTACTTTTTCCCAACATGAAATGACCATGATTGTGTCAATGTGCTTCTTTTTACTCTAACAAAAAAACAAAGAAACAAGTGGTGCTGGATGAGACTCTCAGAGAAATCATAGATCACTCATCTTCTTCTTCTCGTTCATCTCTTTACGGACATCCCAGTCTCTTGTGAGAAGGCTGCTGTTCTCCACAGGTTCTCCAGGGTTCCGTTGAGTTTTGGGTCTGTCTGCCTAGGGTTGGGCCAATATTAACTTCTAAGTGCCTCAAGCATGGGGCAGGCTTGTAGCAGATGCTTTCCTGTTTGGCTTTCAATTTCGTACCGTCATTTCTCTGAGTTGCCAATCCTGAACTTTTTATTTTTTGGATATGTGTTTTACTATGTACGTTTGCTTGGAATGAAAAATAAACATGTTCTTAATGAGATAAATTGACGGAGTTAGACAATTGTTATTCTTCAGTCTTCTGTTTATTACAGTCGACCCCGTTTATATTGAACTGGCTTGAGTTGGTTTTCAGTTGATTTTTATCTTTTTCTCAGGTCTCAGCAACTGTTCTTCCTTACAGGTCCAAATAGTTGAGTTGATGGGTTTTTTCACTCCCCCAATGACATCGACTTATCCGTTGTCAATTTTATAAAGAATAAAAAGATAATGGTACCAGTGTATGTGGTGTAGTTATTAGATGCTTGGCCACCATATGCAGTAGTTCTGAGTTTGATTCTCATCTGAAGAGAGTTTTTATCGAATTTAACGGTCTTTCTGCTATGTGACATTATATCCCTCTCAGCCCGGGTTGGCCTTGACTTACAGGATCGAAGCCCGCCTCCTAAATTATTTTAAATTGTGTCAATGGGGGCATAAAAAAGTCCTACTTTTATTTTTTTTAATATTGGTATTGTAAAGACAGATTCAGTGGAGTCCGCTTAAAGTGAACTCTTTGGGACCAGGAAAAAGTTCACTTTATCCGAGGTTCATTTTAACAATTTTGGAAGGGTGGAGGCCTAGAAACAGTAGTTACCCCCAGTGGTGGAGGTGGGTGGGGGAACAACACAGCAGGCAAGCAGAGACTCTAAAAAGACCAGAGCTCTTTCTTTCTGATTGAGATTGCCGTCGCCAATGCCAAGCTAGGATTGTCTGCCGATGCCCGAAGCAAAGAATTCTATTTTCACAGCATGGCAAGTGACATAGTGGGTCCGTTCTTCACTTTTACTCATTTTGGGCGTTCACTTTATCCGATTTCCATTTGAAACCGGTTCATTTTATCCACTATTTTTTACTTAAACAAATAGCGTTTCAATCAGGAGAACAGAAATCGTTCGTGGGTTGTACGCGGGTACTTTGGTGTGGATTGCTTCTTCTTTCCTATCAAACATTCCTATCGTCTCTATCTCCCCTCATTCTTTTTTTTTGTTTGTTACTCTCTTGTAACACCTTTAATCTTCGGCACTTTTAGGCTTATGACCGTACTGTGTTGCAAGTGCAGTAAAACTTTTACTAAAACTAAAAGAATATCGTCCACTTTAACCCGTTGTTCCAATAAAGCGTGTTCACTTTAGGCGGACTCCACTGTAGAGATGGATTTGGAGTATAGTATCTAGACTGAGAAATAGCCGAACAAGTGTGGGCAAGGGAGATATCAGTTCCGCGTTGGCCGAACTGAAAGTGGCGCTGCAGACGAAGATGGGGAAAACGGGCACTGGCACAGGAGACTCGATTAAGTTATTAACCTGATGGGAAGCCACTTTCTCATACACTTCTTCTCCTCAGGGCACCACTACTTCTCATTCACGATAATACTGATATCATAAAGATGTACTCTCTCACTCTTGCCCTTTTTAACTCCCAGTGGAGCATAGGCCATCAACAACATTTCTCCAGCGAAGCCTGTCCTGTGCGCCCTTCTCTAGCTGTTTCCATGATGTCCCTGCTTTTTCAATTTCTGCTTGTACCGCTCGCCTCCATGTCATCTTTGGTCCTCTCTTCTTACGTTTTCCTTGTGGGTTCCACGTCAAAGCCTGCCTGATGATGCTTGTCGGGGGTCTCCTTAGGGTGTGTCCAATCCATATCCATTTCTTCACCTGTATGTCTTCCTTTACTGGCCTTTGGCTTGTTCTTTCCCACAGTTGAGCATTTGTGACTCGTTCGTACCACTTGATCCCCACTATCCTTCTTAGGCATCCATTTACGAAGGTCTGCAGTTTCCTTGCTGCTGATGCTGTGAGCCTCCATGTCTCTGAACCTTACAGTATAACAGTCTTCACATTTGTTTTGAAGATCATCTGCTTGGTGTTCAAACCCAGTTCCTTAGACATCCATATGTTCCTGAGAATAATGAATGCTGCTCTTGCCTTTTGGATTCTGACCTTGATGTCTTCGTCTGTTCCCCCTGCCTTGTTGATGACATTTCCCAGGTAGGTGAAGGATTCAACAACCGTCAATGGTGCCCCTTGCAGTGTGATAGGAACGTCGGCTGCATTCATTCGAAGAACTTTCGTTTTATCCGTGTGGATATGGAGTCCAACACTACGAGAGAAGGTCCTGAGGTGATCTGTCTTCTGTTGCATCTGGGCTCGACTGTGAGTAAAAAGTGCGAATTCATCGACAAAGCTCAAGTCTTCCTACTGACTGGAAAGGGTCCACTGTATGCCACCGCGTTGTCCCGATGTTGTCTGTCTCATTATCCAGTCCACTGCTAATAAAAAAAGAGATAAGGCGATAGCAGGCATCCCTGTCTCACTCCTGTATTCACTTCAAACGAGTTTATCCGCTGCCCTCCAGGTAAGACACTGCAGCTCACTCCCTCATACATCTTTCTTGATCAATCTCACGAACTTGTCAGGTATTCCGTAGTGGCGCATGAGCTTCCCTATTGAGTCCCTATCTAGGCTTTCAAAAGCTTTCTCGTAGTCAACAAAGTTAACTTACAGGGAAGAGTTCCACTCTGTGGACTTTTCCACTATTATAATCAAAGCTGCAATCTGGTCTGTACATGATCTCTTTTCACGAAACCCTGCCTGCTCCTCTCTTAGTTTTGCATCCACGGCTTCATTTAGTCTTTCCAGTATGGTACAACTTAAAAATCTTCCCAGGAATGGACAGGAGTATGGTTCCTCTGTAGTTTTTACACTCCTGCGGGTCTCCTTTCTTGAGTAGTTTCACAAGCAATTCCTATCTCCAATCGTGTGGAAATTCTTCGCTGTCCCATATCTTGCCAATAATTCCACGAAGAATCCCTGCCACAATGTCGATATCCCCCTTGAGAACTTCTGGGGGAATTCCATCTGGGCCGGCCGCCTTGCCTGCTTTCTGGTGTCTTATCGCCTCCTTGATCTCCTCTAAACTAGGCTTTTCTTCACTACTCACCCCCAGATCAATCTCTGCTGGTGGAATGTCAAACTGTTTTTCTGGCCTCGGTCTGTTCAGTAGCTCTTTGAAATGCTCCTTCCAGCGTCCTTTCTGTTCGTTTGGATTTGTGAGAAGCTTTCCCTCTTTATCCTTCACTGGCACACCTGTATCTGCCTTCTTCTTCTTCTTCTTCTTCTTCTTCTTCTTCTTCTTCTTCTTCTTCTTCTTCTTCTTC